GAAATATCATAATTAATGCTTACATTGTGACCAGTGGTACAAGTTACCCATATTTAAGATTAAGAAAATCAAGAATAGCTAGATTAGATAGGGTTGTTAGCCCCGCGCTTAACCCTTCTTTATTCGAGTTTGGGCAGTAATCCTAGAAGGGATTCAGGTGGAGTTTTGATTACAAGAAACGAATTAATTTATCATTTGATTGAGATTCAAAAAGTAAATAGTTCGTGGTACTATTTGAGTCATTTCTTGCATATATCAAATGCTATAGATATTCGAGTCAACAACCTAGCCTGCTCGAGTTCGGTAAAGCTTTATTTTTATATTGAATACTAGTAAATATCCAAAACTTCATAATTTCATTAAAATTGGCAATCAACTTGTACAAAACAAGCAATCAAATCTCATAAATTGATTATATTTTTATTGTTTGATGTTCAGTCAATGAACATAAAGAACTAAACTATTTTGAAAGACCGATGTTCCTACGTTTGAATCTCTTAGGTGCAGGGTCGTGGTTGTGAACTGTTGAGAAGTCTCATACTAGGACGAGGCGGTCGTCCACTGCTTCTAGGTTTTCAAAGATGGTCCAAATATTGGTTGATTCATGATCCCAATCACAACTCAACAATCTCCACCACCCTATACTGATGCTTTGAAAATAGTTAATATTTGAAAAAAAATGTCGGTTACAACAGTTGAACAATGATGTTTTTAATAAATTAAATACTTTATATAAACTTTACGGTATTTGCTGTTGCGGACTGATATTAAATGGAGAATTAAGGAAAATCAGAGAGCACTGGTTAGGTACTTCATTTTAGAAACCTAAAAAACAAACGGTTAGTGAAATGTAACGAAATTCATATTGTAGTGAACGACATTAGTAGCACAAACATCACAGTATAGCTCACTTCTATCTAGAGTTTGTACTAATGATTTTGTTTAAAAGAAAGGTGAAAAGTTCCCGATCCGGCTAACTAGCTCACAGAATGAGTCACTACAAAAAGAAGATATAAGATACTTGGATTCGATTATTTAATAGATGCCTACCGATGTAGAGTCTAAACTAAATAAAAATATCCAATTCACTTGGTGTTGGTTTACTTGTATCTTCCCATTGTTATTTAGGACTGCAATTGATCAGTCTCATGTCAGCATATGTGCATCCTGTGAGGATTGTCTCGATATAGCTCTGTAAGCGAAGATGAATAGTTGTTAGCAGTGGAATCCAGGACGCGCGTTTCGTCCTATTTGCGACTCGTCAGCCGCATCTCAAAGTTGATATTCACTCGGGGACTTGAAAACAGTACCGTTAGCTTCAAATGCCATCACGTTATCTACTTAGCTACTGAGTCCTGATAGTCAAACGTTCCTGGTTTCGGAACATTCTCTGGTTGTTTTCAGTTTATAATGAATTATTACCTTAGAAATTAAAGCATGTTACAACTGGCATCTAAAGGATTTATGATACTAATCATTGAAAATGTTGAATATTTTTTTAGATCAAGTCAAGTTATGGTTGAGATATTCAAAACTTGAATGTAACCAAATAATTTTAATTCTAGTTAAATTACTATATAAATAGTATAGCAAGATTACATAATTCATTACTGTATATGCAATGAATTAGCAAATTGTAAATATAACGCATCTGTTTAAGTAACTCAGAGAACATTATGGATTACATTTGCTGAAGAAAAAAGCCTTACTGTTAAGATTTAGCAAACAGTCGAATCAGTCAGTACTATAGGGTTAAAGAGTTACAGTAAAAGTACAAATAACTGATTGTTCATAACTGTACAGATCATTTAGAAATAGTTAGAGTAATCAATTTCATAAAGGTACTTAAGACAAAAAATGTAAGGCTTAGAATGTTGTTATTTATTCATATACCATAGTTGGACAGATTAATTATATTCGGTAAGGGAGGACTACGATAAGTCAAACGATTAAGGTTGTTGGATTGAGTAGACAGATATGGAAAAGCAGATAAAGTTGTAGAACTTTTAGGATATAGTCAACATACACTTTATCGATGTGGCTAGAGAAAGAAAGATATAATTGATCATTGAGTGAGACCTGGAAGACACATACTACGGATTGTTCAATTTTGTAATTTCCTAGTTACTATCGGTTTCTGCCCCAAATGCCCTGGCACGGCCGAGGGTGAGGGGAGTCAGCTCTCCCTCTCGAAATGCTCTAAAATGTCCACGGGTATACAGCCAATGCCAGGGAAGTCCTACTCACTGCCTTCCTGCAACCGGGGTGTTGTTCACGCAATTGAGATGATGAAATGCGAATGTCCGGCGCTTTAGATGGGTTCGTGGATATGGAGAATCCACCTAGGGGAGTTAGAAAACCCTGATTCCAATCTAATGGTGCACATTGGCTCCACGATCCTGATGGAACGAATGGCATATGAACCTATTGTTGGTCACAATCTACCATGGGAATGAATTTCCTGACGTTGCTCCACTGCCTTGTGGATCAGAACTTTAGCTTGAAGGCTCCGGGTGTGGCCCCTCAAGAAAACCACCTGTTTCGATCTGAGCATCCGGACAGTATCCTAGCCCATACAGAAATCAAGTGACTTGTGTGGCGCATATCTAATTGATGCCCTTTTTTACCAGTACTTATGTGTTCAGATAAGTAAATAAAACTGTCGATTTCTACTCTGCACTCATTGAATCTAAGGTGCTTATAATTGTATCGAATAAAGTATTGTTTATCCAATATTGTGGTTCTCTATATTCGGTCGTGAATCTGAGATATAACGTCATGATCCAGTCTATGAATAACCTGTAGACAGATTGTGCAATCAAGTAATAGTATAATTTCGGTTACAGTTTTTATCATCGTATAATAGTAGTATATTGCTATAGACAGTAATTATTTTCTTATTTTACCTTATTTTGATTACGCTTGTTACTCCTCGTGGAGGAGCATAGTCCACCCACGAGCACTCACCATCCAACCTTGTCTTAGGCAATCCTTTCCTGTTCTTTCCAGTTGTTACTCAACCTTTTTATATCTACTCCTATTTATCGATGAAATGTGCTCTTTGACCTTCCTCTTTTCCGTTTACGTTACTGTTATATTATTTATGAAATCTAAAAAAAAGAAAACCATAACTCATCTTTCAAAATAATTTCGTGAACTAGTTGAAGTTAGATACCACTGAATGCCAACCAGCTCAACGGTCTAGTGGTTAAGCGCTCGTGTGTGAGACTGATAGGTCCTGGGTTCGAATCTCGCGAAGCGGTATCGTAGATGAGCATTGCTGAGGAGTCCCACGATAGGACGAAACGGTCGTCCAGTGCTTCCAGGTTTTCCATGGTGTTCTATCTTCAAATAACTTATGATCTCAACCATCAAAATAACTATAATATCCACAAAAAACCTACCGATATAAGAATAATTTGAGACAAGTCAAAACTAAGTCACATTCATACTGAATTGATCATGAAATACTCTTTGTTCCTAAAGTGTTGTCTTTTTTTTCTCTCTCTCTCTTCATTAAAGTGATGAAGTCCAACTTGATTGTACTCAAATCTTATGGAAACCAATTATAGTCCTTAAGTATTACACATTATAATATTAACTTTAATGATATACTTGTTTACTAGTACTTACATATGTGATCATCAATCGAATTTACATCCAGATTGTTCAATGTACAAATTTTCAGCTTATTTGTTTATTTGATTGTTTGTTTGATTTCGATTATAAATTATATCACTCAGATACAATCAGTATTATAATTGATAGCAACAAAAACAGAATGTTGTTATTAATCTCTACCTTAATGTTTGTTGTATTGAATGGTAAACATTTTAGTCATTTACTATTTTTGTAATTTGATTAATAGAGATTAATAGTGTAAAGTGTGAAGAATATGCTAAGGTAAGTTATTTCTGTTTATGTTAGTTATTTTGATGAAGTGTAAGTTTTCTGAACTGGATGGTTTGATCGTGAAGCTTTTAGCGTTTATCTGAACAATATCATCAGCGCAAACTTTAGGTAGAAGTGAAATGTTCGAATTTCTTCACATATGGTCCACAGTTTGTCTAGTAGATCTCGATTTTGACTGGTTCTTGTTGACTTTAAACCTGTCATTGTTTACTTCTTTGTTTTGATTGTATGATTTTTGGTTCTATGTTTGTCCATCATTTTCCTGATTGACTGATAAACTGGGCCGATTTCAATGTGCTCGTTGATTGGTGATTGACCTGAGTGCCAAGCTTATAAAAATTCTCTGGTGTTTTCGGGATTTCCTCTGTTCAAGATTTCCACACATTTCCAGTCGAATGTGTGTCCGCATCTGTCCACGTGCGTTGATATTATTTGCTCACTTAATTAATTCATTACGACTGTTACTCCTCGTAGAGAATCAGTCGTCAACCAGGATTGTTCAAATAGCTCTGTCCTGGGCAATCCTTTCTAGTACTACTCTTTTAATGTTTGCGTTAAATCCTCGACACAGTGTGTTCCTCGGTCTTCCTCTTTTCCGTTTGCCTTCAGCACTTCAAGTTAGGGACTGCCTCGCGGTTCAATTTGTTGATTTCTACAATGTATGTTCTATACACTTACAACATCGTTTCCCAATTTCCCCTTCAACTGGAAGCTGGTTTGTTCTCTCCCACAGAAGGCTGTTGCTAATGGTATTTGGCCAATGGATGTTGAGTATCTTGTGTAGAAAACTATTTATAAATACTTGTAGCTTATTGATGATGGTTGTAGTAGTTCTCGAAGTGTCAGCTCTGTAAAATAGGACAGTCTTGAAGTTCGTATTGAAGATTATGACTTTGATGTTGGTTGAAAGTTGTTTTGAGTTCCATATGTTAGTCAGTTGTAGGAATGCAACCCTTGATTTGCCATTCCTCACCTTTACATCTGCATCTGATCCTCCTTCTTCATCGATGAAGCTTTCGATGAATTCTCATCTTCCGGGGTTTCGCTACCAAGTGTGAATGGGTTGGTGTTCTCTATGTTCTACTTGAGGATCTTGGTTTTCCTTTGTGTATGTTGAGGCCTACTGATGCAGAGACTGCTTCTACACTGGCTGTCTTTATCTGCATTTCTTCGTATGTATGCGATTGGAGGGCTTGGTCATCTGCGAAGTCTAAATAGTCTAATTTGTTCTGAGCTGTCTATTTTATGCCATGTTTTCCTTCAGATGTCGAGGTTTTCACAATCCAGTCGACCACCAGAATGAAGAGAAAGGAATAGAGTAAGCGCCCTTGTCTGATAACGGTCTTCACTTGAGGTACATCTGTTTGACGTACGTTCAAATTATTCATATTGAAAAATCGTCATTTTTTTCATAATGTAGACGAATCTTCTAGTATTCCGTAGTCGCATTGGTTAGTTTGATAAAAATAAAGTTGTGCATAGAGGTCTAAATAAATTGACCTTCACTTGACGAAAACATAAGGAAAAAGGTCTCAAATTATTACAAATTATGTTTGGATCGTCTATGAATCTCAACTCATAAAGTATTTGTCGTGATTAACCTATCTGTATACCTGAAACGAAAAAGGGTTCCTGTAATGATAATATAAAAGCTAATTACAAACAAGGAAGTGCAAATGAAAGCCGGAAGTTTCGTTCAAAATCAATAATGACTATCAACAATCACAATCGGGGATATGAGTACACAAATATGTAAACTGTTGCATTTAAACAACGATTTACGGAACGTACAAAAACTGGAAATACTTGTTACAAGGTTGATGGAATGCAATTACAATGATCAATGCAGTATATATTAATAATTTGTGTATTACACAACGAATAAACACGTTGGATGCCGGCTCATTGATCTAGTTGGTTAAGCACCTGGTGCGAGACTGATAGGTCCTAGGTTCGAACCCCGCGATGCATGGTCGTGGGTGAGCACTGCTGAGGAGTCACACAATAAGACGAAACGGCCGTCCAGTGCTTCCAGGTTTTACATGGTGGTCTAGCTTTAATTGATTCATAATCTCAACTGTTGAAATTACTACAATCTCCACAAAACCCCTTCTGATACGAATAAACATGTATCACATCATGTGCTCAAAAAAAATATTAGAAATTCAATTGTCCTCTATTGTATTGTCTGTTCATGAAAAGGAGGCATTGTCTTTGTTTGAGATTAAAATTTTCTGTTCCTATAACACAAATTTCAGAAATGCAATTGTTTACTGATTATTAATAAGTAGTGTAGTGCAATAAACAAAATTGAGTTGTGTTATCGGATCTAGACAGAGAAAGTAAAGGAACTCAATAAGTTTGTTAAAATTTATTCTTTTTTCTGTTATTTTCCTTTTAGATGTCCATCTTGAATACGGACCCACCTGACTGTCATTTTCGTAAGAATAAATTCATCGCCTATTTTTATAGTCATCATCTACTTATTTTAACTTCATATTAGATTGAATATGGAATTATATTAAAATTTCTTATTGAATGTCTGAAGTAATAATCAAGATTCCATTAAATGAAAATAATTGTCAATTAAGGTGTAAGAACCAACTTTTGCTTGAAAGTGTTCAGAGAATCCTGACAGTATTCAAATATACAAATGACTGAAAGAAAAAATACCTTAATGTTATTAGATGTTAAATCAGATTGACTCATTAAACTTCTTTATTAATGAAATGTTGATAGACTACTGTAATAATTGAACTCAATGAATGACGTTCCTCCATAAAAAGAAAACATTTTCCACAATCTAATTTACTACCGATCAGAAACCAAGAGTTATTGGATACATTTTGTATTCTGATTTGTGATTGTGTAATCATATATACGCGTAAGGTATCACAAGGAACTCATGTAGGAAGCGATAACCGATTGATTCTATCGAATTCGGAGTGAAGCAGTAACACTAAGTTAGTTCTATATTATAAATTGACTGAAGTTATAGAAGTGGACAACTAAATTTCATTTAATTGGTCGAAAGATATTGCCCTTAACATAAGACCTAACAATTTTGTGTTTGATTTAGTCTAGGATTGTGGTTATATACTTGTATAATGTTCTTATCTAGAACAAGATTTTCATCTAGTGTTAACTTTCCTTGAATAATTCACTAAGAGATATAAGTTAAGATATTATTTATAGATTTGTTATATTTACTTTTGTTTAGGTTTTCATGTTAACTAGGGTCTAATAGTTGAATTCATGAGTAAAATAAAGCTAGCTAGACCACCATGGAATCCCTGGAAGCAATGGATGACCATTTTGTCCTAGTATGGGACTTTTCAGCAGTGCGCATCTACGATCCGTCCGGCAGGATTTGAATCCAAGACCTATCGGTCTTGCGCGCGAACACTTAACTAAAATTAAGTTTGAAAATAAGTGAACGTTTGTAAAAGTAGAGTTGATGTTTGGACCAAAATTACTGATTGTTTGCTAATTCAGACTAGTGGATAGTCTAACAGGCACTAGATAAGTTATATATTCTCTTACCCTTAATATTCTTGTGATTATTGTAGGTTTTTAGTTCTAGTCAGGCTAGTCGCGTGTTCTTGATCTGAGCTGTATTGAAGTCCTGTAGAATCCACACTGGGAAGGTATCTAGTGTAGATATTCGCCTAATGTAAATTAGCATCCAATTCGTGTAGGATGAAGCAAACTGAGAGTTATAACACAAGTTAAATAAGATTACTTCAATTTAAACAGCATGAAATGTTGTTAAGATCATTATTTAAAAAAATCTGTTACTATATCAAGTAACATTTTACAAAATACTCTGGTTATTATCTATTGACTTATAAGTAGTAGAAAAGCGTTTAATTTTGATTTGGTCAAGCAATTTGAATGTTACCTAGTTTGACAAATAGTCAAGTGTTACGTATGCCAGAACCCCGTTTACTACGACGCACAATGCCGACTAGTGTTGGAGACGGTTGGAAGAAAGTTAGGGACGGCCAAACCAAAACGTCGCATCAGTGCTTGGAGTCACTAACCTCTAGTCTGAGCCATGTTAGTAGATGCAGACTACTTGATTGGGGTTCGCGTGACTGTCGTGGGTGACACGGCTCAGAATCGATCACAATGTTGTCGGTGTATACACTCTCTGTTTTCCCTTAAACTATAAGATTAAAATCACTTCATATCTTTGTACCAACTAATTCTTTTCTCCTGTACTATATCCTTGTTGCAATCTTTCTTTTACATATTACCACCTCTGAAATAACTACTTTTATGAATCCGGTGTCCATCTTGTTGTGTTAATGAGGTATGGCAACTTGGAGTGATGCATATATGTGCCTGGTCCTACGTTGTAGCTGACTGACTGACTAACTGACTGACATATAGTCACTTTAATTTTTCTTATAAACTCTTAAAAACATTTTTATAAATATTCCTTTTTTTATTTCTAGTTTGTGAACTATGTACTTCAACAGTAAATGCTACTAAATACATATTGGATAATGAACCATTTATACCGAAGATAATTAAGAATTTTATGCCAATTTGTTATATGTTACCAAAGTTACAATATCGGAAAATTGTATGTTTTAATCAGATCAATTTAGTTTAATCGATTTTTTTCTTGCTAATTGTTTAGGTATATAAACAAATCATCTTTAAGTTTTTGATGGCGTTTCGTTGTCTGAAATGGATGATTTGGTCGTGGAGCATTCATCGTTCTTTTGAACGACATCATCAGCAAACTTCCACCTGAAGTATGTGATGATAATGTCGTTCAGAAGAACGATGAAAGCTCCATGACCAAACCATCCAGCTCAAAGAACGAAACTTTATCAAAATCATCCACCTGAGCTACAAATCTTCGCCACCATCTTTAAGTTTACTTCACTTCATAATGTTAAATTCCCAAAATTAAATAATTTGAGAATATTAGTTATATAGGAATCTGAAGGAGGTTGTTGAATTTTATTATTAATGTAATGAATTTACTTTAATTAAACCACTGCAGAAAGTTAATAAACACTGAACTGTTGTTTTGTTCTAGTATGAGATTCCTTAATAGTGAACACCCACGACCCAATCATAGTGTGTCGAACTCGAAATCCTAAAATCTGACTTCAGGTACTTCACCTTTAAATCACTGAGTTAATATTCAATGGTTTAAAATTCTAACTACAAAGGTTAAACACTTGTTGTAAGACCAGAAGATCCTTCGGCTAAACACTTTGCCAGGTAGTGGATATACACAAATGGAGAGCCCCATACTGGGGCGAAACGGTCATCAGCTTTCGACTTAATTAGGTTAGTCTGTGATGTGAAATATACTCTTTTTTGGAGTGGCTCTCCTAGGATGCATAAACGTTGACTACTAATTTAGTCGTTAAAGAACACTAATCGAAATATATAGGACCTGAAAACATTGAAGCTTATTATGAAGAAGAAGAATAACAACAACGAACAGTCAGTCAGACTACAAAATATTAACCTGGAATTCATGAATAAATTATTCTACCGTACAAAACTATTCTTTTTCTCATAAATTGTTGTTGATGTTTGAGTCGCACTGTGGTGTGCACTACTGATGTCGATAGATATAAGTAGTATGTATTATCAATCGAAATTGAAATGTTTGGCGGCATAAGGTTAAGAAAAGAAAAGAGAACAAGAATAAAGAATGATTGATGTGGAAACGAAAGAACAATAAAAAAATGAATGACATTTTCCAAATGAATTATTTACTGTATGATTCTCAGATTTTACTAAGGGATTCTGTAACTTATAGTTCAAATACATTTGATTATTCCCACTTATGTTCACGTTCACTACACCATATACAATACTACTTCCCTTTAGATTGTAGATAAAGCTTTTAACTAAACGACAACTTGACACAAAAATCAAATCAAACAAGGGTTTGTTGCTCAACTGATGCTTAAACTTAAACCTTTCTCCATATTACCATTTTTTAATGGATAGCATTCAGTCAATGCCCTAGACTAGGTAAACATGAAATTGATTATGACTTAATAGTGATTATTCAATGTAACTACTATTCTTTATTATTAAAACTTATTCTTTTTTGTATGTGTGTCTGTGTCTCATTATCTACATTAATTCCATTCGGTGTAGTGTTATCATCTTGTAGACGGTGGTGCAGTTGATATAATTCATGAATTGGTGAATAAAATCGATGAAAATATCTTTTGTTTTGTAAGTAAACACTCTTTTTTTTCTCTTTATTGTTCATATCAATGAAACCAACCTTCAATGGTTTTATTAGACTATTATTGAAAAGCAACAAGACCTAGACAGTTGTTTCTACCTAGTATAGGCTACTTCAGTAATGTACATTCAAAACCTTAGCACAGAGGATATAACTCAAGAATATTTAAGTCTTGCGGGAACCACTAAGTTGGTAACCAGTGGTTTATATCTCTAGCTTGTTATCATTATGATGAAAATAACAGAATATATAATCATCAAATGATTAATAAAGTTATTAGATGAATGTAGTTAGGATTATACAGCAGATGAAAATGTTTCAGGTTCATTGTTTATGGTAGGAAAAAGAAGAATGTATTACAATTTTCTTCTCCTTATGTGTTATATTAAAGATGATACATAACTATAGCCTCTGTAAAATGAAGTGCAGTTAATGTGCCGTATTTGTTAATTATTTTAAGAAACGATTTTATTGGTTAGAATAATCAGTTTAAATCCACTGAGTTGCAAGTTGGAAGATTAGTCCTGTTTATGAATCTGGGCACCAAAGATTTTACTATGTTGTTGCTACCTTGACGTGGTGGCCGGGCTTGCCTTTCGTGATGAAGCAACCAAGCTATACTAGCTAGAACATCTGTTCCTCAAGGTCCTACCATATCAGACAGGTCGATCGAAGAGTGGTGAGACTAAAAGCAATAAACTCAAGATCCGAAGGCAAAGTCATACTGCTGATTGTACAGAGGTGTGACGGTAGTAAGATATTTCCTTCAGACAACCAGCATGACAGTGATGCTGCCTTCTCACAAGGAGAGGTGGGTTAAGGAGAGGTCGACCCTGAAAATACACATCTCACCTTATCCCACGGATATCCGTCTCCGTTGGTAAGGTCTCAAGAAGTATGGAGCTAACACGAAAATTATTGACAAAAAGACCGTGTGTGACCGACCTTCAGCAGATGTCCCTTGGTCACTGCAGTCACTCTCTCAGGTCACTAAGACCACCTTTAATCCGATTTCCTTCTCAGGTATCTCGAGAAGAACCTTTTCTTGGGGTGAACAACCATGAAGTGATAACTCTTCTCATACCTCTAACAGCACTCAAGACCACTGATTGACTGACTATGTTGTCCCATTAAATTATATCATTACATATGTTTATATTGTTGAACTTGGGACAAGCTTTATTTCAGTAATGTTTATCATATTTTCAATTATTTTTTAATCTCAACACATGATTACTGTTATAACTTGTGGACTTGCTTCAATCAATATAGGACGTGACAATGCCGCCAATTAGTGAATAGTGATTACTTTTACTGATTAAGTATCTTGTCTATTTATTGCACTTCATTTTTACAATCATATGATGAACGCGTTATAACTTGTGGTCTTGGTTTCTCGTAATGTATAACGTGGTGATACCACTAATTAGAGAACAGTGACTTATCAACGGAACCAATGACGCATAAAACCTGTACGACTAGTCTAGAATCCTTGTCAGTCCTTCTTCTTACTTAGCCCTGACTGTTAAGTCCAGAACACCAATATCAGCCTCCGCGATATGAATCATGTATTTCAAACATACTGGGTTTATATACTAACCAAACAGACCACATCGTATCATAAAATACAAAATACACATTTATACAAGATCTAGCCAAAAAAGTGGCTGTGAATGTGGGAGATTTTCATTAATAAACTGGGCATAAATCAAGAATGGTAAATCGTATAATCATAGTCTATGGGTCAAAATAAATCGTTTAATAAGAGAAACCTAAATATGCATAGTTTAGCTACTTAACAATTATACTATAAGAATATATGTATGGTATTAGTTCATCAAAGGATCCCAACAGTTACCATTCATTATTCTCGTTGGGATATAACAATTACATTTCGAAATAATAAAATATATCAATTCTATTCAATTGTAGCATATTGGATTATGTCATAATACAATTCCATGCCCAAACTTTCAAAAGACAATGACTTGTAAGTAATACAAAGATTTGTTCATTTATCTGATGATTCATGATTGTTCCATATCCTTCCTGTCTTAAATCCTATACTTGCTCATTAGCTTGAGTTTTACTTTCCAATTCCCTTTTAATACCAAACACACTTTCTCATAAAACTAGGCATTTAACTCCTGGTTTTACACTGTCTAATGAAAACCGAATCTCCAATGCTTAGATTATTAGGTATTCTGAAGATATACCAAAATTGTACCTTAAAAAGAGTTAAATTCTCAAGAAGAAATCTTTCAAGCCAATAAGTTTCAATAACAAGTAAACATTAATTTTGAGATAATAATGAAAGCCACGTGGGTTTATTCTGTGTTTTTTTATAGTGACTGCTAGATATATTCAGTATAGTAAAGCTTAAAAGTATGCGTTTGAATGTATAGTGTTGAGATGTTTGAACGTAATTTAAAACGGCTGTATAATAGTTTATTAGCACTATAAGTGGTTGTTAGCAAACAGTAAGAAATGATTTATTTGGTATACATTTCGTGACGGTTTTTTTACTCATCAACAAGACGTATCTATAACATTGAGGGAACTGTATCGTCCTGAGTTGTATTGTTACTGGGTTTTAAATTGAATGTCATGTTTGTCCAATAGTTGATGATAATTGAATTTTGTAGATCAAGTTGTAATGTGTCTACTATTCTAAATGACTTTATACCATGTTTTGATGTTAGAACACCATTGCCCTCAGCTTTACTGGTACATCATGTTGATATGGAACCTAAATCAAATAAAGATGTTCCGTCAGTAATGTCTGGTCAAATCTTCCATGTCATTTATGAAAATTGATAATAAAAATTAATTACTATTGATTACAATTTAAGTATGTTTAAAGTTATTGTATTTTCATTTCAGATAATGATTTGTCTACTTAGATAAATTTTTATTCTGTTGAATTCATACAACAGAAAGATAGAGCTTTTGAAATGACGGAAATACACTTCATAATATTGACAATTATTTCAATCTACTTTTGTTTTTCTTATTTCATGGGGCTTATTTCGTCAGTCAGTCAGTCAGCTACAACGTAGGACCAGGCACATACATGCATCGATCCAAGTTGCCATACTTCATTAACACAACAAGATGGACACCGGATTCATAAAAGTAGTTAATTCAGAGGTGGTAATATATGAAAGAAATATTTCATGTAAGGATATAGTACAGGAGAAAAGAATTAGTTGGTATAAAGAAAGAAATGAAGTGATTTTAATCTCATAGTTTAAGGGAAAACAGAGAGTGTATACACCGACGCCATTGTGATCGATTCTGAGTCATATCACCCACGACAGTCACGCGAACCCCAATCAAGTAGTCTGCATCTGCCGGCATGGCTCAGACTAGAGGTTAGTGACTTTATGGACTGATGCGACGTTTTGGTTTGACCGTCCATAACTTTCTTCCAACCATCTCCAACACCGATTAGCATTGCACGTCGTGGTATTCGGTGTTCAGGTATACGTAACACGTGGCCCGACCATCTCAGTCGATGAAGATTCATAACCTCATCAACTGATTAACCATCATTTCCTAATACCCTGCGTCTAACCTCACTATTACTTACCCGGTGATCCCAACAGACGCCAGCAATATTTCTAAGGCATCTGTGGTCTAATACTAGTAGCTCACAAGTATCTTCTACTCTTAATGGCCGCATTTTGCTGCCGTTAATTAAAACAGAATGGGCTGCCGCGCAGTATACTCGTCCTTTTTTTGATAGACGGATATCCGGCCTTCGCAATAGGTGACGTAAGTTGGCAAAAGCCTAGGGTAGAAAACATAAGTGTCGGTTTCAGTGATAAAATTGTTACATAATAGGAGATTGATATATTGAAATTAGATTCAAAAGATATGACGAAACTACACATCTTTCTATTGGTTACTAAACTGTTTTTTTATAATGATTAGAAAGATTGATTATATTCGATAATAAGTTATATTAAACGTAGATGTAGTATGAAAGTTGTTTACAGACTTGGTTTGCATAGCTTTCATACGTTTAGGTCATCAAGATGATCCAAGAAGTTTTCTGTTAGGAGACCTTCCCAAGATGAAAGAATAGCATAGATTTTATAAATTGGAAAACCCGACTAAATGGTTATGACCATCAGCTGTGAAGTGGGAGTGAAATTAAGTGAATCAGTTTATTTAAGTCAATGAGCATAGAGCAACAGATTGAATCAAATAAATTTTTTGGAGGGGGGGACTCAAATATCATTTCAATTATAAAAACAGAATAATGAGAAGTGATTAGAATGAAGATTGCAACTGGACAGTTTATAAAATGCATATGATATCCGAAAATTAAGCCTAACAATCAGGTTTTAATTGGTTAGACAAAACTGAATTCATGAGTCAATTAAATTTAGACCACTATGGAAAATGTGGAATCACTCTACGGCCATTTCATTATCGTATTGAACTCAGCAATACGCATCGACGACCCCAGCTTGCGGGATCCAAACCCATGACCTTCGGTCTCTGGCGCGAGCTCCTAACCTCCAACGGAGTTAACGCCTAACTTTAACCAAAACTGATTTCTCTCTATCGCCTATAACATATTATCATGTTGGTTCTACGCTTGTATATTGCATATAAGCATGTCATTTTATCGTTTAAAATAAACTACTTTTCTGACTGGTAGTTTTGTCTTTCATCTAAAATTATACGGATGCTTACTTAAATAAGTCAGCTTGATGAGAAGTATTCACTCACCGACACCATATTGTTGCATTTCATCTACCAATCAACATTTTCATCTTTTATTTTTAACAATCAAAAGTTCGTTCATCATACGATTGTAAACATGGAGTACAATAAATAAACAAAATAGTCAATTCCAATTATTTATATCAGTATTGTGTTGTGTAGATTGTCAAGTTTTGATTGCGATTACGAATCGATCAATATTAGACCACCATTGAAAACCTGTTAGCACTAAACGGTTGTTTCGTCCTAGTATGGGACTCTTCAATAGTGCACATCTACGATCCAGTACTAAAGGGACTCGAACCAGAGACCTCTGGTCTCGCGCACGATCTCTTAACCTCTAGACGACTGAGCTCTGAAAAGCTAGAGAAAGAATAGTGAGTACAATCAAAATATTTCAATGAGTGAAAATAAGTGAATCAATAGTATATGTAATAGGAGAGACATTTCAATTAAAGAATACAACTAGGAAGAATTCTTTGAGTGAAAAGAGTTTCTCTTACTTTGATAAAGAATGTGAAAAAAAGCTGCATCAGGACGGTCATTGACTTCTATTCTAAGTCATATCTAATAACAGTTCAACTCAGAGTTACACCATCTCTAAGGCCTCAGCCATGGAACCGTGATGGACCAATAGATGCCAATCCTAAACAATTTTTTTTTCATATCAAGACAAATTTCCACAAACATCTTACTAAAATAATAATCAAGTCGTTATAAATACCCACTTTTAAGATATAATATCCTAAAGTCCAACAAAGGGATTAATTAAGTTAGAAGAGGGAACTGATGGACTATTGGTTATTGAATAAAGAACAGTCGTTCTATCTTCGTGAAAAAAAACATTAAATTGCAATAAAGTGAATTAATTTTTCACTAGGTGTGTTGTGAGTGTACACCTACAGTTCAAATTAGGAGATGAAAAACATTTGTAGCTCAGGTTTAAGGTCAAAAAGAATCAATCTACATCGAGGTCTACAGAACAAGCTGTGAAACGCATATGGAGAAATTCGAACACTTCACTTCTATCTTAATTTTATGCTTATGATGTTGTTCAGAATAACGATGAAAACTCCACGATCAAATCATCCAGCTCAAAGAACAAAAAGTCCATGAAAAAAACGGTTCACATTAACCTTTAAAAATTTGCTTGTTTTTCAATGACTTATCAACTAATCTTAGTTCCGGATAAAAAAAGTTACCTTCAGATCATACAAAATTCCCTAGAAGGTAACCAATTAAATCCATACGTGATTATACATAAAAGAACTCAACATAAGTCAAAAGCATATTTCTCATGTATGCAAAGGAGAGAAGAATAACCAACTTCCCTTTCTAGATATGTTGATTAGTAGAAGAGATAATGGTTCTATCAAACGTTCTATATATAGAAAGCTGATATGGACAGGGTAATATCTTAATTTCCATAGTCATTGCCCAATCCATTACAAACGTGGATTATTCAATAAAATCAATTATATTTGTACTAGCGATACTCTTGAAGTAAAGACGTAGCTCTTGATTGAAACATTAATGAATAATGGTTTTTCATTGACATTCATAAACCACTGGGAAGGTTGTAATACGATTAGACCTATGACTCTTCTGGTACCCAAAAAGCGAGTTTACATTATTTTACCATTCAGAGGTAGTTCAAATAGTCTCATGTTGAAACGGTGATTTAAATTCGCCATCAACTTTATGCAGCCCAAGGTTTATGTTTCATTCAAAACCTGAACAGCACGTTAGCGATTGTATCACATCCGATTGTGTCCATCAATTTTCATGTATTTGTGGAAACACGTACATGAGAAGGAGCAATCATGATCTGCAAGTTAGGCCGGCTGAACACATGCCTAAATGGCTCCAAAAACAAATGATTCCCAATGGTCAAATAAGATCGCAGGGTAGACAAACATCTTCATCCATTGTGAAATATTTGGTTGGTAAGTCAACCTTTGTAGTTTTGTCCAAAAGTCTTCAAGAGCGCATGCTAAAATTTATTGAAGCCATGGTTATACAGAAATTGAAACCCCATTTATGTGTTCAAAAACAATTTGTTCTTACCCCTGACCTACCCTGATAATACTGATTTATTATCCAGAGTGATTTTCACAATGTTTTTGTGTACTCTATCATTACGTTTAATCTGTCTAGTTGGCCTTTTATTCTTCATATAACAATGTCTTAACAAGTATATTATATGTGATCCAACTGTTCTGAATGTATTGCTCAAATATATTACGTAATTCTGACAACCCTCATCTTCTTATTTCATTACCAAACTTTATTAAATCGACTAGTTGACTTCACTTCCTTAATACTCATTCGCAAAAATACCTATTTTCATTTCGATCCCGATATTAATTAGTAAACATGAATAAACTACTGAATAACTTAATTAGGGTAATATATATTGAACATTGACCAATTTCAGTAGTTGAGATCATGAGTTAATTGAAGCTAGACCACCATGGAAAACATGGAAGCACTTGATGGCCGTTTTGTCCTATTGTGGGACTCCTCAGCAGTGGGCATTCATGATCCCACCTCGCCAGATTCGAACCCAGGACCCGCGATCGTTTAACCTCTCGACCACTAAGCCAGCATCCAACGATGTTAATGTCTAACTTTAACCAATCCACGAAATTGTGCCATAATTCCATCGTTGTCTTCAATCAATTGTGATTACACCTCAGTCCCACAGGAGGTGGGTCGCGGCTTGGATAGCCAAGTGGTAACTTCTCTAGCTGTGAACCTGGGTGACACGAGATCGAATCCGCCAGGGAGCACAAGTTCCCTCAAGATTACAGGTACACCTTGCTGACGAGTGCCAAGTAGCACGAAACTAGGGTCCAGGGTTTCCGGTTGAATACCTCCAACCACCATCTAATCTCCATCATTGTCTTCAATATTAAAACGTTAAAACTTTACAGTTATTCCATGCTAGCAAGTATTAACTGACACAATACCTTGCTTTAGATCTTTATGTTAATTAACGTTAATGAAAAAATGATTTGGCATTTTTTTCTCTTTTCATACCTTTTATTCAAGTTTAACACTAATAACAAATTCTCAGATTTTCTAGCGGTTAAGCACTCGCGTGCGAGACTGATGGGTCCTGGGTTCGTATCTCGCAAAGCGGGATCATGGATGCACATTGCTGAGGA